ATAAGCTATTAATTATATAATTACAATATCGTATTATACTAATATCTTTATAAAATCTAGTCTATTTCTCCTATTCTTAGAATATAAGAACGCTACTTCCTAGCTCTAGCGATCTTAATAATAATTATTTTATATCTAATCTATTATATATATTTAATATATTATTAACTTTCCGTTTAGCGATTATTTATTATAGTTCTATTATTATTTTATTAATAGTTTTAATATATTACGCTTAAATTATTATAAATACTAAATTAATAATTATCCTAAATATAGCCCTAAATATAAATAGTATTAATATTAGACCGTTAAGCTTAATAATATTATTTACTACTTTAATTACTCCTTAGAGTAGCGATTCTAGGCTTATATTATAAGATTTAGCCTTTAAGATCTTATATACTCTATATATTAGCTTATAATAGCTCTTAACCTTATTTATTAATTAATAGGCCTCTATAAGGATCTAATAGTAAGTTATACTTAGGAAGTATACCTCTACCCTAAATTCTATAGAGGCGAAATTAATTCTAATATTAATAGTTATAATATCTAGAGGGCCTAGGTATATATCTAATTAATACCTCTTAAATACCTCCTATATTATATAAGCTATAAAATTAGGAATAAAAGTTATAGACTAGAATCTAGTATTTATATCGATTATATAAAGAATAAGCTTTCTATTTAAATATATAATATCGATTAAAATCTTATAATTAAAATTAATATTTAATTTTAGAACGAATTTAAAATATTATAGAGATTTCCCTTTAATTTAATAATAATAATAAAAGCGGTTTATTAGCTCTAAAGCGTTCTAGTCTATATCGTAATCTATTCTCTAGAATAGATTTTATAATTTCTTAATTAATAAATAATTAAAGCGTTTATAAATTTATTAGAGCTTTATTTCTATTAGAAATACTACTCTATTATTCTCTATTCTTATTATATATATAATCCCTAAATTAATATAGGTTTTTATATCTAAGAAGAATTAAAGATAGCCCTATTTATAGAATATAGGTATATATTCTTAGAGCTCCTTAATATACTTTATTAGCTTATTATATATATTATTTAAATAGATTCCGAGATCGTCTATATCTTTAATATATAGAAGGAATAAAGTATTTATTAGAATAATATAGAATATAATTCTCTTAATTAATATTAGAATAGTAATCTCCTCTATAATAGATATTATATTTCTTACTCTAAATCTTATTTTAGCCCTTATTCCCTATTTATTAATTATTAAGCCTAGAACTAGGGCTATTAGGGCCCTAGTCTACGAAGCTCCTATTATAGAAACTAATATTACGTTTATATTAAGAATAATACTATATTATATATAAGTATTATTAATCTAATATTAACTAAATAATTACTCTATTAGAGCTATCTTTTTAATCTCTTAATTTTTCTCCTCTAATTCTATATTAGAATAACTTATTTATTAGGGACCCCCTTATAATTATTTATTAATTCGCTTTAGGA